CTTGTTTTCTTGTGTCCAATAATGCATAATTTCATTTGATAAACACGTTTAGATTGAATGGTAATTTATAATCAGTCACAAGAACGTCGAATCTGAATCACTTGAAAAAAACACGGGGGGTGCTTAACTTTTTTCCAGGTGTATATATAATGAGAGTATTCCGATCACACTATGTTCATCGTATCCACGTTTAGGTATGGTGAACATAATGTTGTTGGAATACTATTATTATACACTCTTGTCTATTGTTGATTTGTGTATAAACATAACACAAAGATCAGTTTTTCACTTTGCTTACATTGTGTTTAATCTATTACTTTCTATAATCTCAGTCAGATAATTCAGTTTAACTCTATGATGCATTTCCTAATATTTATCAAGCTATTACAGTTACTGCACTTATCTCTAATGTTATCCGAGAATATCACATATATAAATTTATAAGTATTTTCCAGCTGCTCTCTAATAGTAATGTGAAAAATCTAGGTTTCAAAAATGTTTTAACTAAATTCATAAATTACTAAATATTTATATCCCTTCCACCAATATCATCAGATTCATATGTTATTGTGATATGCAGGCATATCATATTTTTTCTATCTTCTTTATTTATATTGGAATTTTTAAATTTTTGGTTGGTTGCAACATGTGGTCCAGAAAGCCTTGTTCTAGTTTGTTCTCTATAGTAAGTAATGTTCTGCCTGAGAGGATATTGTGGGAATATATATCATACAAGTTGAAAGGATAACCACTTTTAATATCATATGCTGGTTGGGTTGACGATGACTAAATGTAACAGTTAACCAATGTTGTGAGAGAACAAAGGTCATGAGGTGATGCTGTCAACTGGACAAAGAAAGTGAGTTTATCTGCTGAACTCAGATGCACTTTCTTTATTCACTTACAGTAGGAGATCAGTTGTGAAGATGTGTTTGAAAACTTACATGTTTAGTTCAATGGAAGTAGACCTTCAGATAAAACTGTGGAGCTAAACACACTATACAACAGAATCAACTGTGATTATGTCTGCTTGATGTTTATTTGTAGTAACCTAAGATTTTGTTCACTTATTTACATTTGTTTACTCATATTTTACACCTTAAGATATTAATACTTTTAGAGAAATGGGATTTTACCTGAAAGTATCACATTGTTTTATTACACATACCAATTATATATATAAAAAATTAATTAGAAAATTTTCTAATTGATACATATCGTAAATGGGGATAGTAAATTAGTATAATTAATAAGTAAAAATTAAGTATAATTAATCCTATGAAACTGCTCATTCAAT